CACACACACACACACACACACACACACACACACACACACACACACACACACAACATTCTCCAAACAGATCCGCTGCTGATCATTTTAATGCATTCGCAGCAGTTGATCGAATGACGACTAAGTTCCGACCGACTCACCTAACTTGATTCTCATCCGATCAGAAACCCTTCTTCCATTGGTCGATCATCCAACTGGGGAGAACTATGATGGTGAACAATGTACCATTTTTTATTATGAAGCTCAAAGCAATTCGTGGCCAAAATAGGATGCACGGATCCATTGACAAACTTCTTCAGAGTCACCCATGCCACATCCCCCATCACACGAGGTCGCACATCCCGCAACACGAAGTCGAACCGTTCAGTCCAACTGAACACTGTTCGCCACCGCTCAATGACCGCCGAATACCTGCTCACAGAGATCAATTCCAACGGAATCAAATCAAAACACGAAGTCAGTTGAAGGTATCATTGCCCCGTCACCAGCATAACACAAGAACAGTTCCCATTGTCCCACAGGTCCCACTTTCCCACAGATCACGAACCAGGCCTCTCCTGCCACTGCTCGTCCCATACAGTCACTCTTTTCATTCATTGCTTCTGCTGCTCTTCTCCTTGTCCTCCCTGCGCCACCCCCTCCCCCCCCGCCCCCCTTATTGCTACCTTGGATGGATGAGATTTTCTCAATCAGTACGGCGAAGAATTTGTTGCAGCCGGTGTGTGCCTTGACCCAGCGAGCGTGTAAACTTCCGAAAATCATCCCATAGCATTTGGATGGTGAGTGATCTGTGGCCGGGGTCGTGGACGACTACCGTCTCCACCCGAATAGAACGCCCGGTCATTATAGCCGTACTTGGGGCAACTTTCGGACCAGATGCAGAGATAATGGCCGGGCATTTTATTCGGGTGAAGAGGGTAGTGAGAATTCTTCAGCTATTTGACTTCGGCTATTTGACTTCGGCTATTTGACTTCGGTACCAGGGTAGGGCCTGTTGACTTTCCTAGGGTATACTTTTGACTTCAAAGCCCTGGGTAACTCCATTTGACCACTGACCCCAGGGCCTACCTACTCTAAGGAAATTTTCAGACCCCTTTTAAGGCCCATAGAGAGCCGTTTGACCCCATTTGTTTATTTCTCTTTTTCTGTTTTTTTCAAAGGGTGGCAGTCTTGAGATATTTCCACAGGTGACCCCGCGCCCAGGTAATTCGAGATTATTAGTATGGAAGTTATCATAGGTTATAGTCCTTCGGGACATCCGTTAAAATTGGAACGGTACAGAGAATGAAGATAAGCATGGCCCCTCCGCAAGGATGACACGCGTAAATCGAGAAATGGTCCAAATTAAAAAAAAAACAAAAAAAAAAAAGTATTCGTACTAATTTTGTAGGTTGTATATGTCATGATCATGACCAGTTGAATTCCCTTATGGAGCTTATGTTGTCACAGGTAGTTCAGATTTTTTTAAGCCTCTGGAAGTAGCATCCCGTGAAATCGAGGGTCTCAAGACTCTCAACCCGGATAGGAATAGTAATCGAACGGTTACCATAAATGTCAGCTATGATGATACCGACTGAAAACTCAAGCTGAGGGCTCTTTCTTATTGAATGCGCATTTGGGTGTGTCCCGACCGTGGCCGCAGAAGGAGGACCTGAGCAGCCACTTCTACTTGGCCCGATGCTCCCGGGACCCAGATTGCTACACATTACAGGGCGGCACAACTCACCCCAGCCAGCGGGTTACCACCGTTGACTGGTCGCGGCCACCAATCCTCCTCAGGCCACTGAAAGTGGTGACGGCAACGGAAATATAACCCAACCCAGCACCTTCACGGTGCCGCTCAGGCGTGAAACCGACTGAGCTAGCCGGTGGGACACCAGCATTTTGACCCCCAGAACTTCAATTTTCCGAAGAGTTACGACACATAAAATTTGTGCGAGCCCATAGGGTGTATGTCGACTTCTAACGGCCCTCGGATTTGTTCCATTTGACTACTGTCCCCAGGTCTACCCCATTCTCTGACTCTCTAGGGGTTTTCCCCAGACCGAGACTCAAGGGTCAAGCGTCTTTAACTAAGACCCTTTCTCTCTTTCACCGGGACAGAGGGCCACTTCGACCAACTTCTACACCATACACACCTTTTTCTCATGCCCAGCCTTGACTCAGACTTCAGATGTGCATTACTGTGCTGGTTTTTTATCATTTTGTATTTCTTTGTTCAAAGGCTAAGTAGCCTAATCCGATTCGACCGTCCGTAGAATCTGACCAGATGGCATTTCAGGCCTTTTACAATCATGATTTTTTTTTGTTTATAAAATAATTAAAAAACAACATCAACCCCTTCTATTCTGGGGAGCATCAGTCCGGTTGCTTATCACCGATCGAAGCAAAAGATGAAGAGAAGTAAAGAAGGTTCAGCCAGGCGCTTGGAGTACAAGTGACCAACTCAGGGGGGTGGGGCTGATACAAGCCGACCTATAACCCCGACTAATTCCCCCAATCA